GTATGATCCTGATAACCTAGAAACATAGCCAGGTTTGAGATTAATGTGTCCGGGATTCGAACCCACTATCATAGGTTACTGATGTGCCCAGGGGACGCAGCATCGAATTCCGTCTCCTCCTGCACCAAATCCAAACCCCACCCCACCCCCACCCCACCCCCACCCCCAACCATCTCCCTTCACCCTACCGTTTCCAGTGATTAAGACCAGGGATACACAGTCTCAGACGTCTGAATTCTACAACCATTCCAAGCCTCACTTCCCAGGATCCTGCAATGTAACAATACGCTTTCTGAAAACCATCATTGTACCGTATAAAATGAGATCATTATTGGACCCCCGTATGCATTGGTAATGCGTGTGTGGCTTGAAAAACGTCGAAACGAAATTCGCCTCCGAGTCAATTATTTACCGCTGTGTTGCGAGCAGTAGTTCTCCCTAAGGCCCCAACATCTTCGTTCTCGCCCACCCTCAACCAGCTCACGTAGCAGGTGTCCTAACTCAGACGTTCCCTCGCATATAAATCAGGAGGAAGATGCACATATGTTTGCGCACAGATGTGCGCAGTGTAGGGTCAGCTTACCGCACACGATTACGTCACGACGAGGATACATGTCGTCGCCGCGACATCGTAACGAGGCTATCGCATCTGATCAAGGTTTCGTGTTTACATACTTCAAATTAGCATAATTGGCAGAATCAGCTTCGTGATAAGGTCTGGTGCCAGGTATCCTGATTCTGTTGCCGTTACATCTCACACGCATGGCCATGTGTTGCGTTGGGCTTGAGCAGACTTTTACCAAATGATAATTCAAGTTAATTACTGTATTTAAACCAAAAGGGGGCATATTACAACTGCACCAAAGAAACTCTTTATTTCTTTTGGAAATATGCGTGTTGGCTGGGGAAAGAAACTTAAATGGTTAGCTTGCGTAAGAATATGTCACAGTGATTTACTTATCACATTATTGCCTTCATAAAACACCCCTTTATGTTTAACACTGCATGATATGAGAAATTGCTGCCGATGAATTCTGATTGAACATTATGTCAAGGGGGTTATACGAAAGCTGTCAGAACAAAATTGATGAACTCAACTCCATGCGAAACCTAAACATCGAGAGGTAAACTGGATTATGTATTCTACTTTGTCTCTGTTAAAGTGCTTCTGTGGTTGTACCACAGGTGAGTAATAGGTTTGAGGTGATTGACCAAAACATCACCTGAACCATATTATGATAGTTCATGTATTTAGGACGAGGTGAATCACATCGACTGCTTTATTGTGAAACTCACAGTTACCAAATATGTACACGAACACTCGCATATCAAGAACTCTCGTTGTGCATTTTCACAAGTGTCCGATTTCGCTGACGTCACAGTATCTCACCATGCAGTGTCGTGTAGTATCACATCGTACTAGTGTATCAATCTGTGAAATATCTCACCATGCAGTATCGTGCAGTGTCATATCGTACTTGTGTATCAGACGGTAAAGTATCTCACCTTGCACTATCGTGTACTATCACATCGTACTAGTGTATCAGTCTGTAAAATATTAAACCATGCAGTATCGTGCAGTATCACATCGTGCTAGAGTATCAATCCGTAAAATATCTCACCAAGCAGGATCGTGCTGTATAACATCGTTTTAGTGTATCAGACTGTAAAACATCTCACCATGCAGTATCGTGCTGTATAACATCGTTTTAGTGTATCAGACTGTAAAACATCTCACCATGCAGTATCGTGCAGTATCAAATCGTACTAGTGTATCAATCTATAAAATAATAGTAATTTCCATTTGTAAAGCGCCTGGTATCCATCTGTCTAGTTGGTCACCATGCCGTATAGTGCAGTATCACACCGTATCAATCTGTAAAACATCACACCATGCAGTGTCGCGCAGTATCACATCGTACCAGTGTATCAATGGGCACCGCACCGCACCGCACCGCACCGCACCCCACCGCACCCCACCGCACCGCACCGCACCGCACCGCAATAATACAGTGCAGCACAGTAAAGCACAGCACCACACTTAGCTTCTATTGCACCGCACCGCACCGCACCGCACAGCAACGCAACACTGTAAGCACCGCACCGCAAATCAACGTATTACAACGCACCGCAATGCAAGGGGTCGATCTCGACGCCGCACCGTATCATAGTTGCATTCCGTCCAACCCCATATATTTTCCACCACGAAATATATTAACAGTACATTAAATCGTCCCAATATTCAATATCGTTCCCTGCAAGACCTTTCCCCATCTCACCCCATCTCACCCCATCTCACCATTAAAATCTGTCGTACAACTCTGTTGTCCGCGCTGACATTGGGTCAGGTGGCAGTAGAAACCCTTTCTGTAAGTACATAGTCAATATGTACATGGTTGTATCTTAGACCACGCGCATATCGACGCATACTTGTATTATCACCATCAGCAGCAGCAGCAGCAGTCAAGCTGCATATTGTGCACATAATTCACAATATAATATTGCACGTCACTTGATACTTGCAACATATTGTGTGGCACTCCCCCGCACACCATCTGTTAACTGTATCCTCTTGCGTCATCATAACAGAATCATATTAGTGCCGCCTCAACCAACTCCCCCCACACAACAACTGTTACACACAGTTTTCGACAATTTCATCATGTTGAAAATATCAGCGGCAAGGGATATCAGAAACTATCCATCACTATGATCACGGGAGCAAGCACGAATGCTTGGAGTGGAAACACGTCGTGGTTTGGAAGTCAAAAGTTAAGGTCACCTTCGTCGGGAATAGCTATGGCATAATACAAATCGATTATACCACAAGGATACCAAGGTGAATAGTAGAACAATATTATACCACGAGGAACACTTTTAAAGATAAATAGTATACCAATATTGTACTACGAGGAACGCTTTTAAAGGTGAATAATCTACTAATATTGCACTACGAGGAACGCTTTTAAAGGTGAATAGCATACCAATATTATACCATGAGGAACACTTTTAAAGATGAATTATACTAATAGTATACCACGTGGAGCACTTTTAATGGTGAATAGTATACCAATATTGTACTACGAGGAACACTTTTAAAGGTGAATAGTATGTCAATATTATGCTACGAAAAACACTTTAAAGGTGAATAGTATACTAATATTGTACTACGAGGAACGCTTTTAAAGGTAAATAGTATCCCAATATTATACTGCAAGGCACACTTTTAAAGGTGGGTTATATACCAATATCATACTACGAGGAACGCGTTTGAAGGTGAATAGCATGCCAATATTATACTACGAGGAAAGCGTTTGAAGGTGAATAGCATGCCAATATTATACTACGAGGAACACTTTTACAGGTGCATAGTATATCAATATCATGCGAATATAATGAAAAGACAGGGTGAAACTTTCAAGATGAACACCTTCGACAAACCGACGCCGCCTTCCCCTTCATCAATAAAATGGGACATTTGAAGAAGACCAAGAAATATTTGCTGCTACAGGGTTTGATAACTCCGACATTGTGCATCCTTCTGGCTGTATCGTCTTATGGACATGTAGTAATTGCCTACGCCTCGGTGGAGGTAAGCGAATCCTGAGGCTAAAACGTAATCTATACGGTTCTCGATGAGGCAGAATGAAAACCCACTTCAAAATATTAGTTTAGAGCATTATGTTTACGTTTTTGGCTCGGTTCCAATATTTATTCCTTAAGTGGTTTCCGGGTAATTTCCTCAGAGATGTTTTCACAGTGTTAAAATTTTGTAAACACTGGTGGTTCGTTACAAGGGCTAATGGGTGAGAATGTTTAATTCCCAGGCGAGCTGACTTCAATACCTGAGCTGCATTGGCAGAAGCAAACAAATCTGAGATGGGATTTGTACAATTTTGCCTTATCTGGAAGTCCGTATTACAATTATACATTCTGTTGTGATATAACTTCGAGCTATGATGTAGCGGTTACAAATGGCATGGAACACTCACTCACTCACTCACTCACTCGCTCACTCAGGCGCAAGCCTTAAAGATTGCGGCAAGAAAAGTGCAATTGCGGATCTATCCGAACGAAAGGTTGCGCGGTCCTTTTACAAAGGGAAACTATCAAGATTTCCTTACCACGTATTTTCCCGTGTCCTGAGGGTTTCGAGTTCGAATCAGGGTTAATGAAGACTTCCTAATTGTTCTCGGCAATAGAAAACACTCTCTGATATGCGATGAGAAATATATCCCGAAAATAATCCTGAGAAATATATGTCCATTGTACTACATCACTAACGTTCGTTTAAGAATCAATACGGAATAGTTACATGCCAGCCGTTCGCGAAAAGAAACGTTGCTCACTCATAGTTCGATATTCTGAAGTTACATTTTATGCACTCAGTGCTGGCTAAACCCTGCATCGCCTCAACGTTGTATGGAGCTTTCACGCTCACCTGCTCTTACATTGATCGCTGTCGAAGATTGATCGTCAGTTGTCTGAATGTTGTGTGACGCAGGTGTGCAGAAAATCAAAATCGTCTCTTTTAACAGGAAAGACTCCTATATAGGACTCCTGAGCATGACTTGTGTCCTGTAGCGAATTTATAGACATCCTAGCTTATGTAACAAAACAATGATGCATTCACGTTCTCAAGCTTCATAAAGCCTTTCTCGTTAAGGGGTTAAACTTTCATAACGCTTTTCTCTTGGCCTGGAACAAAGTACATATATTTTTCTTTTATATAATGTCAAATTACAACTTCATTGAGTTAAACCAATATTCATTTCCATTGGAGAAAAATGTATGAAAATTCGAACGACTATCGGTTTTAATTAAAACCAATACTTGAAACGATTGAACACCCACCCATGTAGAGCCCCATCAATTGACAGGTAATGCTTAAATTTTTGTGACCAGTGTTGCATCACTCCTTCTGAGATGTCTAGCGTGTTTTGCACGTATATGCAGGCGGTTGCATCATACTTCAATGTTATATGCACGGTGTAGAATGTTGAAGTGGCATACATCGTGAAGGCTCCCCAGGTACCGGTTGACAGGTAGGCCGATGTCTGTTCCGGTCGTGTTGATATATTATACACGCTGTGCTTGCATCATCATCAAATTATTAATAAGCATCTCATGCTTATGCTAATTTACCATGTGACGTAGTGATGTTTAATATTCTGAGTGGTTGGTTCTCATTGTTTCCGTCTTTGGCGTAATTTGTCTGTTACAAAAGGAGATACTTCAGGTATTTTGATTGAAATATCGAACCATGACTATTGATTTAACAGAGATTGACATATGGTTGTTGATTTTGATGAAATTTTGTTACGAAAATGTTTAGATTGTATTTCACATTTGCACTTCTGGATGTTGGGTAATGAACAGCAAAACTTGAATTATCCAGACCCTGTTAATCCGAACTCATCTTTTAACACACCTTGTAACATCTGGTTAAGTTTGCTGTCATCAGGTTTTCCTTGCATCAGCTGCTTCATCTATTTTGATGTAAGTCTGTGTGGTGATCGGGTAATCTTTAGTTTACCATTTATTGAATCCGGGCATTGATTTTACTGGTCACCTGTTAAACAGGAAAGTATTTATCTGCTTTCACAGTTTATACAGGCATTGGTTTTACTGGTCACCTGTTAAAAAGGACAGTATTATTAGCTTTCACAGTTAATCCAGGCATTGGTTTTACTGGTCACCCCTAGTGTACAGTACACAACCCTGTGCACTCAAAAGAACCCACGAATCCGTTGGTATATGACCAGATGGTGGTCACATGAATGCGTGCAAACGCCTAGTGCGGGAACATCAACGTGCAGTAAACGTGGACAAAGTACTGTGACTATGTGTCCCAGTCCACCCAACTGTGAATGGGTACCAAGTAAGGATAGGAAAGCCGCAATAACTCGGTGCGCCCAGTGGCTGCAAGAGTTGTTTGATCCCCATTTAGTTCCGAATGATAATACGATGTGCCGCCGAGATTGACATCCAACGATGGTGAGTTGGGTCATCCTGTATAATTCAGCCCCAGACACTTTACAAACAATACTTTGACATGATTTGTGAAACTTTGTTGCCAAAAGAAATGTTTACACGGGACATTTTCATGGTTTTCTGCCAATTCAGGCTTATATTTGACGTGTTACTTTTCAGACCCGAATGTGTCTTGAAATGAATAATCTGTGATATTGTTTTATCAGTGCACCCCGAATCGTGACAGTAGTAACCAAAAGAACGACTTGATTATGCATGATTTATCTATTTTAACGATGTATGTCAAGTCAGTAAATATCTGAAACTTCTCAGAATCGAGTTTATGAAAACATTCTTTGAACGTGTTTCACTGAAAGCCCATCCTTATTACATGGCCTTTATTTGGAAACTGGCTGATGTTGATGCGGATATACTGATGAAACTACCCCGGGTATGTTGTCATAATGTATTCAGTATGTCTTCATCCCACATGTGCCTGTATCGGAAATCCTGTCAGAACATAAGGGTGACCTATTGGTCTCATGGTCAAGAGTTAAGTCCCCCTGCAACCAGGATCTGGTGGGATTTTCTTCCCAATTTTGGTCATGCATTGATACTGCTGTTGATTTATGTTGATTAAACATTCCAGATGTCGAGGCGGTTGGGGCAGCCTAGTGGTTAAAACGTTCGCTCGTCACGCCGAAGTCCTAGGTTCGATTCCCTACATGGGTACAATGTGTGAAACCCTTTCTGTCGTCCCCCGCTGTGATATTGCTGGAACATTGCTAACAGCGGCGTAAAACTAAACTCACTCACCATCTGACATAATTCACCACCGTAATGCGTCCCGTATTAATTACTTTATATAACTATTACAAGAAGCTAATATCTCTTCCAATTTTGGTATTTTTAAAAGTTATCCCTACTATTTAAGAACATAATGTTATCAACCCCCATTGCAGTTCTTGTCCTTGCTATCTTATCAACACTGCGTGATCAAAAACCGAATCCTACTTAGATTTTTTCATGAAATCCTCTTACAAAGATGAAATATTGTGTCATTAAAATATCTTACCAAATAACCTTAAGTGTGTTCTTTGTACACTTTACAAAAGCGTACAGTTTTCTGAACCCTCTAAAATTTGTATTAGCCAACTGCAAAAGAAATATTCTTGGGTCAAGTATATCATATTACTGTAGCTTGGTAAAGAATGTGGTCTTCCATATCACTTGCACAGTGGTGGATATTTTTTAAAGTTAAAACTGCAATCTCCTTCAGTTTTCATGTACGTTACCGCCAATGAGGTATATCGTTGACATCATCAACAACGTTTGCAAATGTCGTTGTCGTAGGACATGCCTTTTTAATAATACCTCCTGATAAGAAATCAATATTGGGAAACTTATTTTCATCAGTTTATGCATGTGCTAAACCTATTGTAGATTTCTCTTCATATCAAAATATCATAATCATTAAACAAACTACTCTCAACGTCTGTTGATATTCCCATTACGTTTTGTCACCAAGGCATATTTTTATTATTGTTATTTTTTCTATTCCTTTTCCCTCAAACTAAAAATGTGCAAAGGCGATTAGTGCTAAGTGATAAGCAGTCTTAATGCTTTTAATCCACGGGAGACAACGACGAGTGGAGATTTGCACTCCAGTTGACTAGACGCCCCCAGGGAAGGAATGTCACCTGTGACAGTAATTCAATATGGCCGTCTGACATGGCGATTCTCACTACGCATGCGTAGAGATTTGAGGATAGTGCTTCATGTTCGAACCCGTTCTGTGCGATCTTCTGCTTGAAAGCGATATTTTGTTTTCGTCGAGGTTTAAGTGTTATTTTACACTCGCCTAATGCTGATTTTCCACTCGGTTTAACGCTATGGCTTCCATCGTGACTGGACGTACCTGTGACAATAACATTCTGCCATGTGCACACGAACATGTGAGAGGCTTAAGGGACCCAGGGCGACGACAGGTATTAATGCGATAATGAAAAGCAAGATGTTAACATATTTTAATAGTCGAGATTTCTGAAAGCACCATGAAAAACTGTGTACCTGCTAAGTGCACGATGCTGTCATAACGATTGTAAATGTTTCACAACAACAAGTACCTCTATTATTTCAAATATGACACATGTCATCGGTTCCCAATTGCGCAGTACGATGCTCATGCTGTTGATCACTGGATTGTCTGGTCCAGACTCGATTATTTACAGACCGCCGCCATATAGCTGGAATATTGCTGAGTGCGGCGTAAAACTAAACTCACTCACTGCTGCTGCTGTTGCCACTGTTTCTGTTCCTACTTCTACTACTAGAACCAGTACTACCAGTAAAGATCCAGGTAAGAATTGGTCTTCAGCAACCCATGCTTGTCGTAAATTCACGAATAACGGGATCCGGTAGTCAGCCCAGCTGGTTAGGTATGCATGTCAACGTATCTAATTGCGTATATCGATGCTCATGATTTCAATCACTAGTTGTCTGGTCTAAACTCTGTTATCTACAGACTGTCGTCACTCAGTCGGAATATTCATGAGCGCGGGGTTAGACAACAAACTATAGACTCACGTTTAGTCCCTGAATACATATAAATTTGATAGTAGCAAATAAACCCATTTAAATTGAAAAGGAGCCCCAGTGAGACCAGAGAACCTGAGAAAATCTAGACTTGCTTTAGTTAGGGCTTTAGCATTGCAGGGAGGGCAAAGCATCGAGGAAATTAATATGGTTCAGGGACTGTGAGACAGACTAAACAAAATACTGCTACTACTCCTACTACTGCACCAACTACTATTAAGACAAGAACGACGACTACTACCACCGCTACTGTTCCCACTTCTACGAATGCTACCGCTTATAGCAGTAACAAAATATAAAACAATAAATAAAAATAAGAATAATCGTTTTCTGACATCTATAACACAAACTAGTACCTAGCTACCCGACTCTTGCACATAGCTCTGATTATGACTTTAGCTCTGTGAACACCATGCCGTTCTCGTAGGTTTTTTATCTGAAATGAAGCAAATTAGCGTACAAAAAACAACCGCACAACTGTAAACATTAAGTAGTGTTATCGCGCCGAGGTGAGGGGCCGGTGGCACACAGCCACATATATACCAGATCCCCGTGTATCTGAGAACTGTGCAGCTGGGCATAAACGCCCAGTAGCCGTCTGTGCATATATAGGATATACCAGTGCAGTGCAGTTCCACTGAGACATTGATGGGGCGGTGGGGTGGCCTAGTGGTTAAAGTGTCCGTTCGTCACGCCGTAGACACGCGTTCGATTCCCCAAATGTGTGGTGTTTCCAACCGTGATACTGCTGGAATATTGCTAAACGCGGCGTAAAACTAAACTCACTCACTCACTCACTCATTGAGACACTGATGGACGATTCTGACTGATACACACACCTAACCCTGACACGGGGGCACCTTTCCTACTGGATCTCCAGGTTTTCTGAATGTGGTGATGTTTGTGGGGTTGGTATTGGCAGTTAATGGAAACTAATTTTCTGCTGACACAAAATCTCTCCTCTACTAGTGTATAATGATAATTATAATAATAATAATAATGCAGAAGGCTGCAGTGTTGGGGAGTCTTCATATTCTCCGGAAAGTTCTTGGTGGGTTCGACTAGGCAGCGTTTCCTGGGAGAAGTCCCATTCGCCGTCTGGGCTACGTGTAGAGGGGGCAAGGGCCCTGAGCTCAGATGAGCCTTACCAGCCTGACTGTGCCAGGATCACCCGAACCCTCTCTGCTGCATACAATCTTTAATCTGTAAAACATAATAATAATAATAATAAAAATAATAATAATAATAATGAACATAATCTGTAAAACATAATAATAATGATGATGATGATGATAATAATGGTGATGATGGTGGTGGTGGTGGTGATGCTGCTGCTGCTGATAATGATGATGATGATGATGACGATGACGATGACGATGATGACGACGACGATGATGATGATGGTGGTGGTGGTGGTGGTGATCACGACAACAACTACAACTACAACAACAACAACAAAGGAATCTATATTCTAAATAATCTACCCAGACAGTTCATTTCAAGGAATAACAGTTTCAGCAGCAGGTAGTGTCTCAGAAATATGTTCAAAACAGTTTCAGCAACTTTTGAACATCCCTGTTTATGATTTATAAGAACACGAATCGTGATACTTCATGGCAACAATATACATCTGAAATGTGTTATCGTAAACTCCCTGGTGTTCTTGAACACAAATAGACATATAGCTGTAGATCCTCGTAAAGCAGGGAATGCCATACCCACAGTGCGTTAATCATGGGCTCATTTGGGCGAATTAAGAAATATTTGACATATGAGTTTTGAAAGTTGAAACTCTCAAGAGTTTGATAACCTGGTAGAGGGCTATCTCCTTGAGTAACAGGAATACTTATTTCCAGAGCCAACATAAGCAAACGTGGGGCGGTTGTGGTAATGCAATTGTGACCGTGTGTTATCAGAAAAGGAAGCGTACAGAATTATGATGGTAATGACAGTGGTGAAGGTGGGTTGTTACTGGATTTGAGTGTCGACTGTCGTCAAACTTGCAGGGTTTGGTATGTTGTGGTTTGGGGTGTTAAGCAATGTTAAGCAATGTTAAGCCATGTTAAGCCATGTTAAGCCATGCCGTGGCATGGTGTGCTGAGTTCTGCTGTGCTGTGCAATACTTCTGTGAAATGAGGGCCTAATACATACCGTTATTAGTGTGTTTACATTTCTGCAAGATCAGTCGCTGTAAACGTTACCTCCGGCACAGAGGGTATATTTAAGTCTGTATTACTACGCTACTTTGCCAACGTTGGATGCTGGTACCACAAAGAGCCTGATACCCGGGCTTTTCCATGTCTCTGTTTTTACAGGGTCTGTATTATGTCCTTGATGCTGGACTTTACCATGTCTCTGTTTATGTAGGGTCTGGACTTTGTCCTTGATTTTGGGCTTGTCCATGTCTCTGTTTATACAGGGCCTAAACTATGTCCTTGATACTGGCCTTTACCGTGTCTCTGTTTATACAGGGTCTGCACTATGTTCTTGATGCTTGGTTTTACCATATCTCTGTTTATACAGGGTCTGTATTATGTCCTTGGTGCTGGACTTTACCATGACTATACTGTGTCCTTGTACTGGGCTTGACCGTCTCTGTGTTTATGCAGGGCCTATACCATGTCCTTGACGCTGGGCTTTACCGTGTCTCTGTTTGTAAAAGGTCTGTACTACGACCTTGATGTTGGGCTTCCCGTTGTCTCTGTTTATACAGGGTCTATACCATGTCCTTTATGCTTGGTTTTACCATATCTCTGCTTATACAGGGTCTGTGTTATGTCCTTGGTGCTGGACTTTACAAAGTCTCTGTTTATACAGGGTCTATGCTATGTCCCTGTACTGGGCTTTACCGTCTCTGTGTTTATACAGGGCCTATACTATGTCCTTGATACTGGGCTGTACCGTGTCTCTGTTTATACAGGGTCTGTACTATGTCCTTGGTGTTGGGTTTTACCGTGTCTCTGTTTATACAGGGTATATACTATGTCCTTGATGTTGGGCTTCACCATGTTTCTGTTTATATAGGGTCTATACTATGTCCTTGATGTTGGGCTTCACCATGTCTCTGTTTATATAGGGTCTATACTGTGTCTTTGATGCTGAGCTTCACCATGTTTCTGGTGATACAGGGTCTATACTGTGTCCTTGATGTTCGGTTTTACCGTGGATCTGTTTATACATGGTCTATACTATGTCCTTGATGTTGGGCTTCACCATGTTTCTGTTTATATAGGGTCTATACTATGTCCTTGATGTTGGGCTTCACCATGTCTCTGTTTATATAGGGTCTATACTGTGTCTTTGATGCTGAGCTTCACCATGTCTCTGTTTAAACAGGATCTATACCATGTCCTTGATGCTGGGCTTTACCGTGTATCTGTTTATACAGGGCCTATACTATGTCCTTGATACTGGCCTTTACCGTGTCTCTGATTATACAGGGTCTGCACTTTGTTATTGATGCTTGGTGTACTATATTTCTGTTTATACAGGGTCTGTATTATGTCCTTGATGCTGGACTTTATCATGTCTAGACTGTGTCCTTGTACTGGGCTTTACCGTCTCTGTGTTTATGTCGGGGCTATACCATGTCCTTGACGCTGGGCTTTACCGTGTCTCTGTTTGTATAGGGTCTATACTATGTCCTTGATTTTACCATATCTCTGCTTATACAGGGTCTGTATGATGTCCGTGGTGCTGGACTTTACCATGTCTCTGTTTATACAGGGTCTATACTATGTCCTTGCACTGGGTTTTACCGTGTCTGTGTTTATACGGGGCCTATACTATGTCCTTGATACTGGGCTGTACCGTGTCTCTGTTTATACAGGGTCTGTACTATGTCCTTGATGTTGGGTTATATCGTGTCTCTGTTTATACAGGGTCTATACTGTGTCCTTGATGCTGGGCTTCACCATGTTTCTGGTTATACAGGGTCTGTACTATGTCCTTGATGTTGGGTTATATCGTGTCTCTGTTTATATAGGGTCTATACTATGTCCTTGATGTTGGGCTTCACCATGTTTCTGGTTATACAGGGTCTATACCGTGTCCTTGGTGTTGGGCTTCACCACGTCTCTCTTTAAACAGGGTCTATACTGTGTCCTTGATGTTGGTTATATCGCGTGTCTGTTTATACAGGGTCTATACTATGTTCTTGATGTTGGGCTTCACCACGTCTCTGTTTATACAGGGTCTATACTGTGTTCTTGATGCTGGGCTTCACCATGTTTCTGTTTATACAGGGTCTATACTGTGTCCTTGATGTTGGGCTTCACCACGTCTCTGTTTATACAGGGTCTATACTGTGTCCTTGATGTTGGGCTTCACCACGTCTCTGTTTATACAGGGTCTATACTGTGTCCTTGATGTTGGGCTTCACCATGTTTCTTGTTATACAAGATCTATACCATGTCCCTGATGTTGGGCTTCACCATGTCTCTGTTTATATAGGTTTTGCATACAGGGTTAAATTCTACTCCGCTTAAATCGGATTCTAAAGAATCACCAATATCAGTACGTTATATCGTTATTCATTCCAGAAAAATGGTGTTGACATTGTATTCGTCTCAACCGAATATTCGATACATACGACTTCGCTATATCAGAGTTGATCGAAATGCTCGCATGCCGTTATTCTTTCGAGAAGAAAAGGTACTGACATTGTATTCGTCTCAACCGAATATTCAATACATACGACTTCGTTATATCAGAGTTGATCGAAATGCTTGCATATCGCTATTCATTCAAGAAAAATGGTATGTGCATTGGAATCGTCTCAATCGAATATTGATACAACCGACTTTGTTATATCAGAGTTGATCGTAATGTTTAGCCAATGAAAACCCTTTCTGCTCCAGGGCACTCATATTGCACTATTAACAATACTTAATGCACCATTGCAGTTCAAATGTACTGAGACGAGAAACCTCATCGCCAAATGAATACCAGGCAAGATAACCAACTCTGTTCCACAAACCCGCAGACCTTTCATACCCTTTGGTCGAAATGTCACCACGCTGAACTAAACGTTTTACAGTGTACAAGGTCTTTTTTACAACAATTGTCACGATCCATTCTACAAAATGTGGATTTAGGATCGTTGGGTAAATGAAGAATGCTGTATACGCGCAGTCAGATGAGAAGACGCTCTTCGGACTGTACAGCAGCGGGCTATTAGTTAACGCTGATGTAAGGGGCTAGTGGTCCGTGCTAGCGATATGCGACGTTTGTTTTACCACAGGCTCGCTCTATGATTTAGCACATTTTGTCAAAGCTGACAGCTGCTGGTCCGTCAGAGTCATTGCTTTGACTAAATTGTCCTCAGCTCCTCCTGTAGGAACAGACATGATAGATGTATGAACGTTTTTCTCAGTGATTCAATCAAAGTAATGGATACGGTGACTACACTTACTCTGTCTCGGGAAGGTAAACAACAGAGACAGATTAAATTCTCGTGTACACAACATTGAAACAATTTTTGTTCCAGGGCAAAATGACAACCCTCGTGAGCCTGTATTATTTTCTGTAGACTTTTTTCACTTTTATATCTCCAAGTGGCTTATCGTTCGAGCATTGGCCCTGGCTCTTTTTTCCATGCAGATAAGTGAGGGTATCTTTTTACCTCTTTCAGGCGACCCCTTATGCCATGCGCACGCGACTGGGATTCCATAGCAGACGACACACAACGGATATATACCGAGAAAGTGAAGTGGCTACAACTCTTCAAGGATTGAAACGGGCGAAGGAGTTATGAAATTTGCTGTGAGCTTTGGTTGTGAGAAAAAGATCTGGAAGAGATTTCTTTTGGTGTAAACAAAGTGCATATATATTCTGTGTGTTCGAAATGTTATTGAATTGGGACAGAAATATATATTTGAAAAGTGGTCACATGACGAGATGAGTTGACGAGACGATGGATGCCGGTGCTATATAATATGGGAATTGATATCACTCGAGCAATTGGAAATGTTCGCTGGGAGTGGACGCACTTGCCAGTTTAGCAGCGTGCTTTTCAAGGAAATATTGGAATTGGTTAACTTTGTTTTATTTATTGGGAAAGGTGGATTGGTGCAATAAACGCGAATACTGTAATTTATTCTTCGGGTGGATATTACCGACAATCCCTGTGTGGAGTATGGGAGTTATAAGAAATACATATGAAGAGGAGTCGGACATAGTGATCCCTGTGAACGAGCCTTACAATAGTGATTGTATCATACCAATGGAAAGTGTATACGACCGACTGCGCCCCCCACCCCCATCATGTGGGTGTGGCACGCGCCCAACAACAACATGTGATAGAGAGTCTTCCCCAGCACGGAGCAATTCCTGGTAAGTAGTTTTTTCTTAAATATATTAATATTAGTTTGACATATATACATCCCTTTTACAGAATGTTTTATTCATTTATCAAATTGAATATTGAATCCAATTATGATTCGTTAATTTACTTTGTTCACTTTTATAAGACACATTTATTAACGTTCCTATTTGAATATTATTCATATGTTATCTTACAACCATGTTATATTAATTGCTCATTTAAACAGTTATTCATTCTCCATCTGTGTAATCGCTAATCCTCTTCCATGGGCCTTGACTATGCATGAATATTTCATTTCATTACGCTGGAATATGTACGATGACATGTCTGCTTTTGCACGTAAAAAATCGATGACAGTGACCTAGCTGCGTGAAATCCTACCCATGTGTTTACTAGGGCATTTATGACGAATTAGACATATTCACAAGCATACGTTACATGCACTGCTTGTCAATAACAGCGTGGCCAAAGTTGGTTTATATACAGGCCCGTGTAAAAAACACTGATAACAGTGGCGACACTTTAGACATTTTCACGTACATTTCAATACGTGGTGTCGTATTTCATAGCCTGCATATTAATAGCAGTGAAGGCTCGTTTAGTGTTAATTGCACAGGGCAAGGTGTATATTTCATGTTCTGAAGTTGTTAAAAAATATGCGTCTACATATCATTAGCAGTTGGGATTGTCTAGTGTTAGAAACCATCCACAAGGGTAGGTGAGTCAGCACATTTCTGAGGGAAATATGATAATATCTATGGTAAAGGAGTATTAGATACAGTGTAATTCGATGGCTGCTATGTACAACATGCATATTCACGTTTGATGTACATTGCCTAACAAAGTATGTCAATAGCAGCAGCGTTCGGCAATTTCCCAAGGATACAATACTGGGAAGATGTGATTTCATGGTTATAACAAGCACTACACATCACATGCATACATTTACACCTCAATGCTGTTCGGTTTTCGGATTTCATAGACTGCCTTGTCAATAACAGGGTTGTCGAAGCATTTCATCGGCACATCCCATGTTAATTACACGGAGAAAAATGTTGTCAGTATCGAGTTGTCAGATAGGTTAAACATGCTGCCCACTGTGATCGCTCGCCGGATAGTTGTGTTTTGTCCATCATCGCGTGTTAATGCAGCAAACGGTTACAATGCACTCGCATCGGGCTAGGTTCAAAGGATGTGCAGCACGATCATGCCAAGTGGAGATGTATGTTTCCTCCCGTTACGTGAGCTCGACTCGAACCACGGCCTCTCTAACAACAAAGCAGTTGTCAATTTCATATTCAGCAAGTATTTACGTCAAGATCGCTTTGTAGAATGCTACCTGGAGGTTCGGTAGTTTGTGTGGGGTGTTATGTATGTATCATATCACAACGGATAAAGGATTTAGGCTCTAAATCGCCATGGTTTAAATATTAAGGCACGAGATCTGTGAGTGAATGGATGTTATTTAATGCCGCAGATTGCAAAACACCGACTATATGCTGCGAGCTGTCGTAAGGGACCCCTCATAATTTATGGCTAAAGGGTTGGGGGTGGGAGGTGTGATGATGATTTTGAGGGGGGTCACCCATTTTGTCCTGGGGAGGTAGGGGGAAGGGTCATCAATTTTGTACACATGTACAATGGGCGTCAGCAATTTGTTCATACAATTCAGACAAGTAGACCACCTTTACGCCGGTTCCTTCGTCATTTTCTGACCCTACGTGTGCACTGTGGCGTGTGGACTGTTTTGTACATTTTTACACATTTCTTTGCGAGAGCAATGAAGTGTAATTTAACATGTTTACCTGAATCAGTGGCGTCCGTGTCTGAGCATCATCTCATTGTATGTGGTACATTGCTCTTTAACTTATCTTATAGACTGGTTACTGATAGGAATTGCGTGGCGTCATCTTTAATCACTGCCGTATTGACATTTCCCATATATGTACACACAAAGAAGGACTTCTTAAGGATATAAATCCTTAACGAACAAAATAAATTTTATAAATATACATTTGAACAGTTCAAACAAAAGTAAGCAAGGCACTGCATAATTTAATAACATAAGCATATGTAACAGGTAGAAGCTTTTCTGATCCTTACTTTAAGAACTCCGCACGACGTAAGTGTTTGACATTCCGTTTCGAGTATTTGCTATTTTTCTCAGAGATCTGAAGTCGGCATACTTAAAACGCACAAGCAAAACAAAGTGTTTTGCTGTAACACTAATAACCACTTGACTTGAAGAGGTCAATTTGAAGGAATAGCGTATGTACTCGGAAATAGTGCCCCTTAAACACACATTTTCTTATGCTAATTGTGACGTTTAAAGGTTTGGTGTAAATACGTGTTACTACCGAGTCGATAAGAAATCTATGTTTCTCTCGGTTGCCGTTGGGAGTGGCAGGACGAGGTTTTAGAAAGAAGTAAATGTTGTTTTATGGCAAGGCACTATTTCAAAGTGAGTGAGTGAGTGAGTGAGTGACTTTAACGTCGCGTCGACGTTATTTCAGCCATATAGTGACTCTAGATTATAGTAATATGCCATGTATAATAATTTGTCCCGTGTGGCATATTGACTACTAGCCTCAATACACCTAATGTTCATTTCGTACAGCGAAACCTTTTTAATACAAATTTACCTAAAATAATTTTGTACCATTACAAGTTTTTGTTAACGTTATTGCGCAGTACATCGGTTTAAACGTGGCTTGATGCAGGAGTGATGCAAGTCAATATTTAGAACACTGAAAGAGAAAATACTTTTGAAACTGGTCCTTAGTTTAATAATCAGGAACCTACTTAGGTGGGCAGCTTTATTGGAGAAATGTCCCGATTAATGAGATTTCGATGTAAAGGGGAACCTTATTCGACCAAAACGCATCTAGCTGTTAATGAGAGGAACGTCTACTCATGTGCACATGGATGGTATTTAATTTGGATGCCCTGGTCATCGAATCTTCGTGGGGCGGTGGGACAGCCTAGAGGTAAATATTACCCCACATGGGTAATATGTGTGAAGTCCATTTCTGGTGTCCCCCACCGTCATATTGCTGGAATATTGCTAAAAGCGGCGTAAAACTAAACTCACACACTCCTTGTCAAATAGCCTCTTTGCACCAAACCCTCTGTCAACTATACCACGGACTAACCACCTATCAAATCTTCGGATTAACGGTTCATTATAACAGAGCTTACCTCCGGATTACCGGGATTTCGCACTTGCTCGACCTCTATTTGTAATAAAGTGAGAAAAGATATATTTATCTGAGTGCTTGAGGCGTTTAAAACAGTGTGATCATTACTCCAGTTCTAATGACAATGCTAACAAGCTATTCACATGAAGGAGGAGGACCGTTAACCCAGCTCGATAAACAAAACAACAGGTGAACGGAGGTCCTTATTCCTCATCTGGTTTATTGTTTACAATACTGCATGACGTTTCAGAAAGAGTTATTCAGGCAAGATTGCGATAGCGGAGGACTTAAATATTGTTTCTCTGATACCACGTCTACGATGGCCGCCTATATATTGTTTTATCCGTTATCCAAGACGCACGTGGCACATTATACTGGCAACGTCGTACGTTTCTCCGTTTGAAACGTAAATCTTTCACAAACACCCTCTAAAGCGTAGATTCTTTTTCGAAAGAGGACGCCCAACTCGTAGATGATGTAACTGCCTGAACGGCTAGAGCGGCTGCGTGTTTGCGTGTATTTAGACCGCGAGGCATCCGGCTCGACAATCCGAAACCCTACACAACAGTTATCGAACCTATGATAAGTACTCGTCATCTAAATATGATATGCCATTTGAAAGGGTTATTAGCACGAGGCCTCTGTATTCTGGTGGGTGAGCGAGGCAATAGCGTAGGCGAGGGAAAGACCCTGTGTGGAGTTCTGGGGAGTTGTTTCGCCTGTAATACGGAGTGTTTGAAAGTAGGCTATCTTGGTTTGTCTGTGGTCTTCGACTTAACACCCACTTAAGACTTTGCGTTGGGAGTGATAGAGAAAATTTTATTTGATTCTTAGTTGATTTCGGTGAAATTTTGTTAACTCGATATTCAAGGAATCTGGAGAGTAAATCGAGTAATCCGAAGTTCGAGATAACCGGAGTGTCAAATATGACTAAGTTATGAGGTTCTAGGATTATGCAGAATTCAAACTTCAATTCGGTGGAAACTCGTAAACTCGAAGTCCAATGAACATCGAATGTTTCTCGAGTTATGGGTTGTTTATGACTACCGATACTCCAAAGTTACATCGTTTCCAACGATACACCAAAGTTACATCGTTTCCAACGATACACTGATAAATAGAATTCGGAATGACGGAATGGTTTGTGGAATCTGGCTGATACTAAATGTCATCGTCAGAATGAAAGTCTAGAATAAGCAAATATACATATTATAGAAATTGTCATACCACATTAAATGAATATTTATAGGGCCATGTTGATTGGTCAGAAAGCAAACAGCAAACCAAAAGAGAAAATGTCAGTGTGGGATGGCCTTTTAATTGCTCAACATTTAATGGAGTTAATTCCACGATACACCAACACGATTCCTTATATTGGGGCCATTGGAACTTCTGGACCGCCTAAAACGAATGGTTGCGTGCAGTGGTGACAGACGGTGTTGATCTTTACTCGTGATGTCAACCATTAGTTTGTCTGATCCAGACTCGAGTATTTACAAACTGATCTTAAAATTGGCTCATTGCCAATATAATTTACTCACTCACTTATAATATGTTTATGTAAAGGTGTGTAACGTGTTCTTAAAAACGTTGAGGGGGCATAGATAGCAAAATCGTCCAGAGTGAGTGAGTGAGTGAGTTTGGTTTTACGCCGCTTTTAGCAATATTCCAGCAACATCACGGCGAGGGACACCAGAAATGGGCTTAAAAATCGTCCAGAAGGTCGTAATTCGGTTTGTAGTGTTGAGTCCTTTTGGCAGTCTAGAACCCTCGCAAGGGTTCGAATCCGTGATCCGCCGCTTCCAGAATGA